CTCCAAATGACCCCGGGCGCGGGGCCGTCCTCAAGGACGACCTCTGGGGGCGGGGGAGAACTCTCGGTCGGCGGGCCCGAGGGGCCAAGAAGTTCTGGGTCCTGGGGTCTGGCCCGGGCCTCGCCGTCAGACCCTACCTAACCACGCCGGGGGCCGGAAAAGTTCCGACGATAACCCGCGGCCGCGGAGCCCCGACGACGACTCGGGGCTGAGGCGGCCCTACCATTCCAGAGCGGCCCCGCCACACGGGGTCAGTGTGGGCCGGGGCGACGCTGCCAAGGCCCGCGGGCCGCTAGGCGAGGGGGCGAGGGGCCCGGGGCCGCCGCAGGGCTGGCGTCTCCCTCGGCTCCCGCTGGGCGAACGCGGTAACCCGATCCCCGGAAATTCCTGGAGAAGGGCCGCCCCCTGCCCTCTCCCCGCCGGCTCTCGGCCCGCAGCCCGCCCTCGCCTCCCCCTCCTCTCTCCTCTCCTCTCTTTTCCGCGGCGCTTCTGCCGCTCCCACCCCACCGGGAGCCTGTCCAGATGGGGGACCCCCCCCCAGGACGTGCCCACCCTGCACCCGTGCCCGGGCTGCGCCCTCCTGGGGACCCTTACCCGGCCGAGTCGCTGATGGGGAATCGATGCCGGCTGCGCCGCAGCTGGCGAGGCCAGAACCCGCGGGGAGCGAAAAGGGGGAGAGAGGGGGCCCAAGGAGAGGCGGCGCTTCCCTTCCCAACCCCAGGCCCGGGACGTGACTCATGGAGGCTGCCCCTGCTCGCCCTTCTGCCCTGGGAGGGCGGAGGGCAGCGGCAAGGGGGTGCCCACCCAGGAGAGGCTGCTCTGTCCAGCGGGGGTGGTGGGGCCGAAGGCCAAGTTGCCGCCCTCCAAGCAGGACAGAAAAAGGCCAAGGGAGCCGGGCAACTCCGCTCTTGCGGTGGGCTCAGCCCTGGGATTCGAGGGCTCCTCTCTGCCAGGGGGCGTCCACTACTCTTCCCCCCAAAAAAACACCTTTTCCTTTTTGCAGAGTCCTGCAGGATGGACGCGAGGGACAGCACACAGCCGATTTCACAAAAGGGACATCCGGTTCCCACAAGGGAGAGAGCTGGGGCGGGGTGCCCCCCCCCCATCTTCAGAGAGGCGACCCTGGGCATTAGGAGACTCACTCGGGGGAGGGGCCTGAGTGAAACTCACGAATCCTGAAGAAATCTGTGTGTGCCCCGGGTGTCTGGAATATTGAGAGGCCCTCAAGAGATGATCGGGAAAACTGCCGGTGGCACAGGTGAAGGGGGAACCGGTGCGGCCCCTGCTACAATACCCTTGACACACTGGACCCTCACAGTCCCCAGGCCGCTATTATTGAAGAATTATATTCCTTTCTGGACCTAATTCCACAGATGCTGGGTGGAACTGGCGGTGAAATAAGCAAAGCTCAGATAAATTCCCCACAATCTCACCCCTGTGTGGAGTCTCTTGGGGAAAAAAAAAAAAAGTGATCTCATGGAATTTGAAAGTATGATGGTTACCAGAGGCTGGGGAGGGGTGGAGGGAGGGAGGAATGGGGGAAGGTTGACTAAGGGGTGTCAAGATATAATCAGGAGTAAGGAGTTCCAGGGTTCTGTTGCAGTGACTATAGTCAACCGTAATGTACTGTATATTTCTCTTAAAAAAAAAAAAAAGAGGGGCTGGCGTTGCATGATAGGTAAAAGCCGCTGCTGCTGTGCCAGCATCCTATATGGGTGCCATTTCATGTCCCGGCTGCTCCACTTCTGACCCAGCTCTCTGCTGTGGCCTGGAATAGCAGTAGAAGATGGCCCAAGTCCTTGGGCCCCTGCACCTGCATGGGAGACCCAGAAGAAGCTCCTGGCTCCTGGCTTCAGATAGGCCCAGCTCTGGCCATTGCGGTCATTTGGGGAGTGAACCAGAGGATGGAAAATCTCTCTCTCTCTCTCTCCCTCTCTGTAACTCTGCCTTTCAAATAAATAGACAAAACAAAACCAGGATTTTTTTTTTTTTTTTTTTGACAGGCAGAGTGGACAGTGAGAGAGAGAGAGAGAGAAAGGTCTTCCTTTGCTGTTGGATCACCCTCCAATGGCCGCCGCTGCAGCCGGCGCACCGCGCTGATCCGATGGCAGGAGCCAGGATCCAGGTGCTTTTCCTGGTCTCCCATGGGGTGCAGGGCCCAAGCACCTGGGCCATCCTCCACTGCACTCCCTGGCCATAGCAGAGAGCTGGCCTGGAAGAGGGGCAACCGGGACAGAATCCGGCGCCCCAACCGGGACTAGAACCCGGTGTGCCGGCGCTGCATGGTGGAGGATTAGCCTATTGAGCCACGGCGCCGGCTAAAACCAGGATTTTTTAAAAAGACTTATATTTTATTTGAAAGGCAGACTTAGATCTATCTGCTGGTTCACTCCCCAGATGGCCTCAAGGGCTGGGCTGGGCCAGGCCTAAACCAGGAGCCAGGAACTTCTGGGTCTCCCCTGTGGGTGCAGGGGCCCAAGCACTCGGGCCATCTCTGCTGCTTTCCCAGGCCATTAGCAGACTGGGCCAAAAGTGGAGTAGCCTGGCCTGGGAAAGCAGCAGAGATGGCCCGAGTCTTTGGGCCCCTGCACCCGCGTGGGAGACCCAGAAGCTCCAGACTCTTGGCTTTGGATTGGTGCAGCTCTGGCTATTATGGCCATCTGGGGAGTGAACCAGCGGATGGAAGACCTCTCTCTCTCTCTGCTTCTCTGTAATTCTGCCTTTCAAATAAATAAAATAAATCTTAAAAAAAATAAATAAATAAAGGGAAAGCAGCAAGGTCTTCAACAGGTGCTCATGTGGGATGCCGGAAGCTTAACTTGCTACAACAGCCCAAAAAGATAGGATATTGAATGTTTTCATCATAAATATATGTTAAATGTTTGGAGAGGTGGATATATGTATCCTGATTGGACATTACATAATATATATAAGTATAGAAACATCACATGGTACTCTGTAAATACATACATTTGTAAATATGTGTCTGTTTAAAAACTTTTAAAAATACATTTCAAAATTCCCACAGATGCTGTCTGAGGGAGGTGTTCTCAGGGAAGCTGTGTGACGACATTCCAGTCCTCTGCTTCTCGCTTCCCAATCGATTGTGTTCCGGGCAGCGTTACCGTTTTCTCGCGTCTCCCTCTGCTCCCTGAGACTCTTACTTGCTCAAGATGAGAAACGCCCGGGATCCAAACGGCAACCCGCAACGCCAGCCACAAGCCCAAGCCAAGGACTGTGTCTTCAAAAAACTAGCTTCCCATAAGTTTTATTGCCTTCCGAGGGGAGGGGTGCCTTACGCTTAGTCCCGCTCGCGAGAAAACCAGTTAACTACAATTCCCAGCGGGCGCCACGATAGATTGTCCAATCAGCTCTGAGTACAAGATATCGCGAGTCTTCCGTGAGACTTGTCTCTATAAGCCCACGGGAACGGGCCTGGGAAACCCTTTTCACCAAGATGGCGCCGAAGGCGAAGAAGGAAGGTGTGTGTTGGGGCTGGGGTCCGTGGTTGGATTGCAAGGGCATCCCTGCCGAGCAAACAAACTAGGAGGACGGCGACTGGCTTAAGTTGTGCGGGATCTGCTCCAGAGCTGCTTTCTGTGTTCGTGTCACGCTATGGCGCGTATGGGCCGCGTGGGCCCAACCGCATGGACGGAGTTCCAGTGAAGGGGGTTGGGGAGGCAACCCGCGCGGCATCACCGGCCGGGGGAGCCAGACAGCCGGCTCTGGGAAGCTAGGCGCGGCCAGAGGTCGTCGCTCCGTGCTTCCAGATCTGTAGGGAGTTACTGTTGAGCCTTACTCATTTTTCTGCTTTTTCGGTGTTGAGCGGGGCTGTCACCCGGTAGCTTTGCGACGGCACATATAAAACCGCTAGCACACGTCCGACAGGTATTGAGCGTTCGCTCGGTGCTAGTTACGCTTTAGTTACGTTTTTCTTATTAGTATCCTTTAAATTACTGAAGTGGATCGCTTTAGCCTCCAGCGTCGTGCATATGATGGAAAAATCTTAATTTCCTGAGACTTATGATGTCTTCAAAGGAACCACTGATGCACATGTGGACCAGGCGCCTGCTGCAGGGCTTGAGGCTGGAAGTGACCGAATTCTGAATCACGCAGCTTCGTTTTCTTGTCTCCTAGCTCCTGCCCCTCCTAAAGTCGAAGCCAAAGCGAAGGCCTTGAAGGCCAAGAAGGCAGTGCTGAAAGGCGTCCACAGCCACAAGAAGAAGAAGATCCGCACGTCCCCCACCTTCCGGCGCCCCAAGACGCTACGCCTCCGAAGGCAGCCCAAATACCCTCGGAAGAGCGCCCCCAGGAGAAACAAGTCAGTCGTGCCCCGACCCCGGCGCCTCCATCGGTGGTTGGGGAAACTTGGCCGTGCTGGAGCGCGGTCTCACACACACCTTGGCACCCAGTGTGCTGCCCTGATGGGAACCTGAGGGGATTGTTCCAGAGCAGGAGTCTGCGATCATGGTCAAATTTGAAGGGGTCGCGTTGGCCAGCTTACCCCTTAGGTTAATTGACCCACGTGTGGTTGGTGGTGTTGTAGAGATGTTCCTTAGCTGGGAGGTTCAAGTTTAGATTCTTGTTCATGGCACCTATTGTAGTTGCCAGTCTTCGAAGGTGAGAGTGCCGGTTGATGCTTGATTGATAGTGAGGAGTCAGCTATTTTTGTTTTGCAGTAATGGCTGACCAACATTGTATAGAAGCTTCTTTGCACTCTCCCAAATACTCGCACACTGTACTCAGGGAAGGCTTGATTTGGGCGTTTTAGTGTTACGCTGCTGGTCACAGGAAGTGAAGATTAGAGCCATGGTAGACATTGCCAGCAGCGGGGTGTGTCCATGGAGGAGCAGTTAGACTCAGCATAGTAAGAGATCGAGATGTGGCCTAGTTTTAGAACAAGAAGGTAGTGTTTGGCTGAGCAGAGACTAGCTTCTTGTGAGAGACAAAATGGGTTGGGGGTCTGCCACCAGGCTGAGGGTTTGGGCCCTAAGTGTCAGGGTGCACGTGATGACATTGTTAAGCGACCAAAGTCTGATAAAGATGATTGCTACCTCATGGTCTGATGCACCAAGTCTCCAAACAGGCCTGTCTTTCTGCTCCTTGACCCTGGCCAGGTGACTCCATTTTGTCTCTCCTCCAGGCTTGACCACTATGCCATCATCAAGTTCCCCCTGACCACGGAGTCGGCCATGAAGAAGATAGAAGACAACAACACACTGGTGTTCATTGTGGATGTCAAGGCCAACAAGCACCAGATCAAACAAGCTGTGAAGAAACTCTATGACATTGATGTGGCCAAAGTCAACACCCTGATCAGGTAACCAGGTGCCTGGAATGCCCCATGGCGTGGAAAGGCTGGGGCCGTGGTCAGGAACAAGACAGCTTGGGTGGCATAAAGCTCCTCGATGCTGTTCTGGGGCTCAGAAGTGGGTTTCCCAGTGTGCGAGCCCTGAAGTGAGCGCCCCTGCTGTAATTAGTCCTTGCTGGGGTTAGACCTGAGGACACTTACAGGGCTGGGTTTATGGGCTTGGTGCTCGCCTGGATTCCTGCCTCTGAGCAGAGGCACACACTGGAGTAAACAGTTTGTCAGAGTACCTGAGTTCTTAAGTCTTAGCATGGCCTGTGGCCTTTCCCATACAAGGGAATTGGCGTTGTGATGGCTTCCCTAGCCCTGTCTGCGCAAATGATGGAAAACGCACTATTTGGAAAAGAATGACACCTACAAAGGAACCACTGATGCGCCAGGTCAGGGCTGGGGGGCAAGAGGCTGTGAGCAGCAAGGACTAAGGCTCCCTTCTCTGCCCCAGACCTGACGGAGAGAAGAAGGCGTATGTGCGGCTGGCTCCGGACTATGATGCTCTGGACGTTGCCAACAAAGTAAGCTTCCTTTCCGCCAAATTCCGTAACGCGCATCCCCTCCCCTCCGTGCGAACGATGTGTCAGTGACCAGAGCCTGACTGCTGCGTGATTGACTGGACCCCATCCTTAGCTGACCAGTCTGTCACTTTGCATTTTGACCATGACATTCCAGCTTAATGTTCACATTGCAGCTCCAATAACCAAGTCCCCTTTTGTTTTTCAGATTGGGATCATCTGAACGGAGTCCAGCTGGCTAATTCTAAATATATGTTTTTTCACCATATATATGCTCTTTGTGTCACATTTCTGGTTGGGCTGGGTGGAGGCTGTACTGGGATATGATACACAGAGTTACCTGGTGGCCCAGGCTTGCCCTGTTGGAACACAGACCTGGCACACCACCATATTTGTTTTCAGATTGATTAAGGGTTAGTTGTCCTAAGACGGCTAGGACTTGTTTTCAAGTTTTTTAAGAGCCCCCTTTATTCCTGGAAGAGGCTGTGTGTGAAGCTATAACACAGAAAGCAGAGAGCCAATTTCAGTTTTCATTAGCATCCATTGGGTTGGCTGGCTGGCTTATGGGTAGCCTGGTCTTCACACACCTGACAACCAAGTCCGACCGGTCGGTCAGCTTCCCTCACCCCTTGCCCAAGAAAAGAAAGGACTTCAGAGGAGTGCTTTCATTAGTGTTTTCAATAGTGGGTGCAGGTTCAAGGTAGAGAGGCCTGGGTGTCCTGGGGCCGAGTCCCACTGCCGGTCAGGTGGTTTCTATTGGCTGTATCTGCTGCCCTTGCCACAAGTGGCAGGCTCTGGGTCTCACTCCGTCAAGAACTTGTCTTTGTGCTGCCCCTTGGGGGCACGCTCAGGGCAGAAGTCTGAGCGCAGGAGGCGTGAGAAGTAAATGAGGATCATCAAGTCGAGCAGGAGCAGGGTGACCAGCAGGAAGCTGCCCAGGGTCCTCTGGCCCAGGTAGCGCAGGAAGAACTTGGTGAGGTAGGCCTGGGGGGCCAGGCGGAAGAGGAAGTACATGACCAAGTTGACATACTTATTGACCCGGTAGAGGGGGTGGCTCTGCGCGTTGTTGATCTTCATCATCATGCGGATGGTGAGGAAGATGTTGCTGACCTCCACCAGGAGTGTCAGGACACCCCCACCGACAAAGCTGCTCCAAAAGATGCCTGCGAAGAAGGCGCCCATGGCCTGGGAGACAGTGAGGGAGTGCGTTACCACAAGAGTGGACGCTGGAAAGCACCCAGTGTCTTCCAAGTTCGCGGTGAAGAGAGGCTTAGCCCATTCAACACGGTTACACTTCGATCCCTGCCCACGGGTTCTGGTGCTGGGTAACGTGCCCAGCCCATTTGAGTGAGGCTGTAGATGGCAGGCCTCTGACAGCAACGCTGCCAACCCTGAGCGTCCTAGCAAGAGAAGTAGGACACAGGGATGGGCTAGGGTTAAGACACAACCTCCCTCGCAGGTTCGGGAAGATGGGGCAAGAGCCTCGGTCGCCCTGTGTCTCACTCACCATGACGTGATGGACAAGGTATTCCCAAGAAGCTCGCGTCTGACCACTGACCACGATGTCCACTGTGTCGTGGATGAAATACCCTGGCGCGGGGGGGGGGGGGGCGGTCAGGAAGGGGGCCGAGCGAGTTGGTGTCTCTGTGCCCTAACTTACCCTTCCCGGTAAGACCTACCTGCAGAGAAGCAAACGAGCAAATAGCCAGAAAGCGACCACGCCGTCTCGATTTCCACCAGCATCTCGGGGGTCTGCCACACACTGCAGAGGAAGGAGAAGGGGAGGCCCTCTTCATTCCGGCACTCCCAAAGACCCCCTCCTCCCGCGCTAACCCGCCAGTCCCCTGAGAGTCTGCCCTCGCGCTATTGGCTGGCTGGGAGTGAGGAGGGGCTTGGACGAAACCCAGGTGCCTCGGGTTTCCCAGAGCTGCTGCTGGTTGGATAGGACTCCAAACAGGGAGTCAGGTGAGGAGCCTGGCCTCAGCCCGCCCGAGGGATGGGGAGAGCAACGCGGGGCCCACTCTCAGCCCCGCGCGCGATCCCCGGGCCACCGCACTCCCCCAGCCGCTCACTCACCACAGCAGCGCCCAGATCCCCGATACAATGGAGTGGGCGAAGGAGACAAGCAGGTTGTGCCAGCGCCAGGTGCGCAAGGGGTCCGCTCGCACGTGAGCGGGCAGGGGCAGGCGCCGCAGCGCGCGCCGGAGTGCTCGGAAGGTCAGCGTGGCTCCTAGGAGCAGCGGCAGGGCGGGGTGCAGCAGCAGGGACATGCTGGCCCTCCCTGCCGTCGGTCCGTCCGCCCTCTAGGCTGCCTCCTCGGGCTGTGCTGGGAACAGAGCTCCGACTCGGGCCGGTCCAACCCGGATGCCTCTCCGACCGGCGCCAGTGCCACACAGTTTTCGCGGAGCCCTCTAGGCCCCTTCGCTCCTCCCCGGCCTCTGCCCCCGCCCCCCGCCGCCCGCGCCCCCGCCCCGCCCCGTCCGCCCGCTCCCGCCCCTCAGGCGCCTCCGCCGCGGGCTGGGCGCGAGCCCCTTCTCCCTGGGGCCTCCCGAGCCCCGCCCGGCTCAGGGGGACACTGGGTGAGAAGGGGCTGTCCTGGACCCCGCAGCCGAGGCGCCCTTCGCAGGCTCCTCCCGACTGCCGACGGGGTCCCCCAGCCGCCCTCGCTTGTCCGGCCTCATTAACCCGCGTCCCCACTTTCCCCGGGGGGCACGGGCTCCCCCGTTCTGGGCGGGTACCTCGAGAACTCTCCGCCCTCAACTCCTTTCTGGGCAGAGCTGGGCGGGACCCACCGCACGCCCACGGCCCGTCAGCCCGCGTCCCGGGGAAGAGTCGGAGCCGTGCGCTGAACGATGGTCTCCGCCCAGACCCTCTTCTTCCACCCGGCCAGAGGCGGACTTGTTTACCTGCCTCTCCCGCGCCTCTCGCGAGTGATGGCTTAGGAACTGTTGAGTCACCCATCGCCACTCTCCTCCCAGCCCGCCCTGGGGCTCCGGGGGCCACGAGGCTGTCACAGTCCTCGTTCAGCTATCCCAGCCCTTCCCCGGCTCCCCGGAGGCCGGGGCGGGGTAGACTGCCCCCGTGTCCCCGGCTCCTGGGGTGACCCTCACTGCCCACCGCCGCCTGGTGCAGTTGCAGCTCCCGGCCGCTGGGTGTCAGCCTGTCCTCACCGTGGCGCGGGGTCCCCGCCCGCCGCCAGACGAGCAGAGCAGCTGGGATTCGGGGATAACCTGAGCCAGGGCCGAAAGGAGCAGCTGAGGGCCGGAGGGGGCGTGTGCGTCGGGGAGTCAGTGGGGGAAGGGGGAAGAGAGGGCGCAGGAAACCAGTGGAGCGCAGAGACCCAAGCGGCTGGGTGTTTTGCTCTGCCTCTCCTGGCGGCTCCAAGGTTACCCATTAATCCCAGGGCGGCTCCTAGGGGCCCCGTCGGTTTCTAGGCGAGAGCACGAGCGTCCCCGGTGAGCTGCTTCCCCCGCCCCTCCGCGGCCTTCCCTCGGCTTACAGGGTAGCCTGGCCAGCCGACGCTGGCTGGAGCCCGCGGCCGAGGGGCCTTCCAGGGCCTTTCCGGTGTCCCGTGCCCCCGAGCGCGTTCGCAGGTCCTCTCGAGGGGCAGGGCAAAGACCCGACACCCCTTTCCTTACAGTCCTCGCCCGCTCATCCCTAGCTAATGATCACCTTTCTGCATACCGCGGGGCTTTCGTGGAGCTCCCGCAGAGCAGGAGGCGCCGGGGAGCACCGGCACTCCAGGCCCCAGGCCCGGGGCAGAGCTGAGGTCCCCCTGCACGGGCGGCCGCGTCGGGAGTGCGCACAAGCGCGAGGCTCGCCGCTGGTACCGGCCTCCCCCGAGGACTCCCCCTGCACAACCTGGGGTTTTCCCGGCCCTTCCCCAGGCAAACGCGAACCCAAGCCTCCTTCCGCCCCAGGGCACCAAAGCGCCGCTTCTGCTAAGTTGCACTCGTGTCTATCGTTCGCGCGCCTTCGGAAACAGCGTCGCCCACGGGCAGCCGAGGCTGTCGGTCCTTGCTTCTCGGCGCCCACCCGGCCCGAGAGGGGCAACTCTCCGGGCAGGCACCCCTCTCATCTAAGCAGCTTCGCGAGAGCGGGGCCCGACCATAGGTGGGAAGTGGCCGGCGCCGTTGCTGGCCGCTGCGGGACGTGCTAAAAAGCGGCGGACTGCCTTCTTTGCGTGGGTGGCAGGTCCACGAGGGAACCCGGCGCAGTAGCCAGCGCAGCGCACGCCCGCCCGCGGAGCCCACACCCAGCGCCGCTCCCTCCGGCCCCGCCCCGCCCTTAGCGTCCCGCGCGGGGGGCGGGGCACCCCGTGGGCAGGGCCGCGCATGCGCCGCGGCGGGGACAAGCGAGGTTCCGGAAGTGTAACTCTGGGAGATGAGATGGAGAAGTACGAGCGGATCCGAGTTGTGGGGCGAGGTGCCTTCGGGTGAGCCAGGGCTCTGGGGGAGGAAACTGCCAGGGGAGAGAGATGGTAATAGGCCCTAACTTTGACCGCGAAATCGCGCCCCGCCCCGAGGAGTGAGCGCCACTCTGGGAAGCCCCGCCCAGACTTCCGGTACCGGACCGGAGGCCCCGCCCCCGTGAGGCCACGCCCCTGGCCACCTGTGCGTGCTGGCGGGGTTCTGTTAGATTGCTTAGGCGCTGGCCCGTGTGTGTCAGACTGGGCGCAGAGTACACAGTTAGGACCGAAACAGGCGTGGCCGTTTCCCTGTCAGCTCACAGGCCGTAGGAAAGTTACACAATGAATAACACCTGTAAAGTAGGAGCAGTTACGAGCGGTTATTACCAGGCAGCGAGGATAGAGTCCAACACCAGGGAGAGGGTTTGTTTATTTGGGGCGGTCGAGGAGGAGTTCTCTGAGAAGTGAGATTCAACTCAAAGCAGGGACTTGAGCAGCGAGCAGCAGTGATGTGACGTGAGGGAAGAGCTTGCACCCCGGGGAAATGGCGGAAATGGCGTGGGCGGAGGAGAATTCGGAGCCCTGAGGGAAAGACTCAGGTTGGAAGGTAGTGGGCAAAGAAGGGAGCGGTGTAAAATGCGATGGTCACGCGGCGATCTGTTCCGGCCTCGTTAGCCAGGGCGAAGGGGTTGAATGTACTTGCAGTATGACAGGACTTCTGCAGCAGGGGACGTTCTCATGTGGATTGCATTTTTAAAATGCCACCGGCTGCTTCTGGAGTTTATATTTGAGAGTGAGGGGAGTGGAGGCTAGTACAGCATTTTAGTCTGCACTAAAATGACCTGGACAAGGGTTATAGCAGAGGACCCAGGGAGGATTGGGTGGGTTTACAGTATCTAGGAGGTAGCCACAAGATTTGCTGATGTGTTAGCGTGAGCTGGAGGAAGGATTCTGGGATGATTTTCAGATTCTGCGTCTGATTTTAATAACAGGAACGGTACTGTCACCCACCAACTGAGGGAGAGACAAGGGAGGAAAGGTTAAGGGGCAGGAATCAAAGGTTTCATTTTGAATTTGTTAAAATTCGGGATGCCTCGTAGCCAGCTATATGAGCCCGAGGCTCAGAGGAGGGATCTGACCCTGAAAATTCAAGGCTTAGATGGTCAAGTTACAGCCATTCCATCAGGAAACATTTGGTAAGCTCCTGTGTGCTGAATCCTGGGCTGTGCACTAGGGATGTAGTGGACATCAGCCATGAGGTGAAATAAAATAACGGTAAGAATGGCTTCCACTCACTGACCTGTTCCTATGTGCCAGGCACGGTGCTAAGTGCTTGACACGCATTTTTCTCATTTGATCCTCTCAGCGGCCCTGTTTTCCAGGTGATGTCACCTACTATATGCAAGTCACATACTTAGTAAGAGGAGGATTCAAGATCTAAGCACAGGCAGTTAACTCCAGAGCCTGTGGGAACTTAGCGATCAAGGCTCTTTATGCCGTGGTGAAACAGGTCCCACACAAAGTCTGAGCCGAGTGCTCCCCGTGTGCAAGCGCGGGCGACCTCTGCCATGGTGCTCGCTCCCCCCGGAACATCCCGGCCCAGGTCTGCCCTGCCTGATCTGTGGCTGGAGCCTCAGAGCCTGTACCTGTGTCTCCAGGATCGTGCACCTGTGCCTGCGCAAGGCCGACCAGAAGCTGGTGATCATCAAGCAGATCCCAGTGGAGCAGATGACCAAGGAAGAGCGGCAGGCGGCCCAGAACGAGTGCCAGGTGCTCAAGCTGCTCAACCACCCCAATGTCATCGAGTACTATGAGAACTTCCTGGAGGACAAAGCCCTCATGATCGCCATGGAATACGCGCCAGGTGGGCCAGCCTCCCCGCCCTGGCTTGGCTGCAGCGGGTCCGTCACGCTGGGACAGGCGACACACGTCAGTCGGCTTCCCTCCTTTGAATGGGCTTGGCTGGGGGTCAGAGGTTCAGGGTTCTGGCCCAGCAGTGTGACCCTGGCAGGCTTCTGGCCCCCTCTGGTTCCAGTGCCCTGTTGCATTTTGGAGGCTGGGGTGGGGGTTGTCCCAGGCATGGGAAGGCCTGGGTTTTGATTGGCTCCCTGGCCCCAGGCGGCACCTTGGCTGAATTCATCCAGAAGCGCTGCAATTCGCTGTTGGAGGAGGAGACCATCCTGCACTTCTTCGTGCAGATCCTGCTCGCGCTGCACCACGTGCACACCCACCTCATCCTCCACCGGGACCTCAAGACCCAGAACATCCTCCTGGACAAGCACCGCATGGTCGTGAAGATCGGCGACTTCGGCATCTCCAAGATTCTCAGCAGCAAGAGCAAGGCCTACACGGTGCCTGGCGCGAAGGGACACCGAGGGCGCTAAGGCTGCAGGGCCGATGCCTGCTCCGCATCCCCCCCAGCACACAGCCCTGGCTCCTGTCCCGGCGCTGCCGTAGGAGGAGGCCCCGGGGCTGGCTCTGGAGCTGAGGGTGGAGCCCCTGGTCCTCCCTCCCCACAGGGCTGTGACTTCAGCTTCCCTCCTGCAGGTGGTGGGTACTCCATGCTACATCTCCCCCGAGCTGTGTGAGGGCAAGCCCTACAACCAGAAGAGTGACATCTGGGCTCTGGGCTGTGTCCTCTATGAACTAGCCAGCCTCAAGAGGGCCTTCGAGGCTGCGGTGAGTGTACTCGCCTGGAAAGGGACAACCAGGGAGTCTGCCTCCCTCCCCGGCCGTCCTCAGCTCCAGTGTCCTGTGTTCCTTCTTTGTGGCTGTGTCATTTGGGGGGTCAACCTCACACGGTGGGTTTCTGAGAACAGGGCCTGGGTCCGCCCATTGCACTCAGGGCTCCTGGGGGCATGGCTATGACTCTCCCATGAGATCAGGGACACTCCCAAGAGCAAGCCTCGGATTTTTCCAACAACCCGGGGCTTCTGAGGACATAGCTGCAGCCATGTCAAAGCAGGGTTTAGCTCCACTATCATTCTGGGAGCCCTCTGCTGACAGGGGGGCCCTGGCCAACTCCCACTTGGCGCCTTTCAGAACCTGCCCGCACTGGTGCTGAAGATCATGAGTGGCACCTTTGCGCCCATCTCGGACCGGTACAGCCCTGAGCTGCGCCAGCTCGTCCTGAGCCTGCTCAGCCTGGAGCCTGCCCAGCGGCCGCCGCTCAGCCACATCATGGCACAGCCCCTCTGCATCCGGGCCCTCCTCAGCCTCCACACCGACCTGGGCAGTGTCCGCATGCGGAGGCCAGTAAAAGGGCAGGGGTCCTGGGCGGCTGGGTGGGGGCAAAAGGGAGCACAGGAGGCGCGAGGTGGAGGGGTGCTGGGGGCCAGCATGTAGGAATGCTTGTGAGGGCCCGTGCCCTGAAGCCCCGACCTGTGGTCCCACAGGGCAGAGAAGTCCCTGGCCACTGGGCGGCCCTCTGGGAGCAGGAGCAGCAGTGCCCGCTGCAGGGGTGAGTGCGGGCGGGCTGCTGAGTCCTGGCCAACACCACCCAACTCCCACCGGGTTCATGGGCTCCATTCGCTGTCTCTGCAGGCGTCCCTCGAGGACACGGGAGGCCGGCCATTCCTCCACCACTGTCATCAGTGTACGCCTGGGGCAGCGGGCTCAGCGCCCCCCTGAGGCTGCCCATGCTCAACACGGAGGTGGTGCAAGTGGCGGCTGGGCGCACGCAGAAGGCTGGCGTCACGCGCTCTGGGCGCCTCATCCTCTGGGAGGTGAGCAGGGCGTGGAAGGGGTCAGAGTGGGGACCTACAGGGAGGTTGCTGGTGCTCAGGCGCCGCCCCCTCCCTCCGCAGGCCCCGCCCCTCGGCACTGGGGGAGGCGCCCTCCTCCCCGGGGCGGTGGAGCAGCCGCAGCCCCAGTTCGTGTCGCGTTTCCTGGAAGGCCAGTCGGGCGTGACCATCAAGCACGTGGCATGTGGGGACCTCTTTACGGCCTGCCTGACCGGTGAGCCCACAGAGCAGCTCACTCGTTGCAAACTGCTCACCTAACCTTTTTCTCTCCTAGTTGTTGAGTTAGTGCTTTCTGTCTGCTAGCCGTTGAGATTTACTTACACCATCTCTGTCACCCCACACAACGGGCTTGGCAAGGGCATTGTTATGGTATACCCATTTGACAGGTGGAGAAACTGAGGCTCAGAGATTCTGCCACTTGTCCGAAGTCATACACTGAGAAGACAGCCCCCTGGCCTGTTCTCACCCATCCTTTTTGCTCTAGCCCCCAACTTTCGTCTTGCTCCTCCAAACCACAGGTGTGGGACTGGTCTAACTTCTCTGCCTTCTGTCTCCTCCCTGCCTCCTGCCCAGACCGCGGCATCATCATGACCTTCGGCAGCGGCAGCAACGGGTGCCTCGGCCACGGCAGCCTCACCGACATCAGCCAGGTGGGGATCCTGTGGGTTTCGCCCTGGGGAAGGGGAAGTAGGGGGATGGCAAACGGCCCACATCTGAGAGCCGATACCACACTGGGGCAGGGGAGTCCCCAGCAGCACAGGTGCCTCTGGCTCCGAGGCTGCACCTGCTCTTGGTGGCATCAGCGGAAGCACAGAAAGACCAGGCTTCGCCAGTGAGCGCCTCCTGCTTGGCAGCATGTGTGCAGCTGGAGTTAAAGAGACAGCACTTGAAAATGTGCAAGCTCCAATTTCATCCCCACTGGGGGTGCTGCCGCCTGGGGGCGAGTCCTGACCACCGGCCCCCTGCTTCTTCCCCCACTCTAGCCCACCATTGTGGAGGCCCTGCTGGGCTATGAGATGGTGCAGGTGGCTTGCGGGGCCTCTCACGTGCTAGCCCTGTCCACTGAGCGAGAACTGTTTGCCTGGGGCCGCGGAGATGGTGGTAAGGTCTCCACCCTTGCTGCAGCCCCTAAGCTTCGTCCCCCAGCCCCCTCCCATACCCCCGCCTCCCCCTTCCATTCTGTCTTCCCTCTTTTCTCTCCGATTTATTCTTTCAACACACCTTGGTCACACACCCACTGTGGGTCCACCCTGGGCTGGGTGCTGGGGCCAGATGAACAAGATGTGGCTTCCTCCAGGCGCACTGGGCACTAACTCCAGCGGTGGCGCAGGTGGGTACCTGTCCCCTGGAGGACTCGGGCTAGTGGAGATGGCACAGCTGCAGCGTTGCCACAGGTCAGACAGCATCGGGGCCACGCCGAGGCTCAGGTGTAGGAGCTCCAGGAGCAGCAGTCACCTGTGGAGACAGAGGGGGCATCCGAACAGGGCTTTCAGGGAGGATCCGGCTGACGGCAGCGCCATGCAAGGCCCTCTGAGGCGCAGGGAACAGCCTGCTCTCTGGGCCCCGCCCAGTGCTGAAGTGCGAACTAACCCCATCTCGCCTTCTCCTTCCTTGTAGGCAGGCTGGGTCTGGGGACCAGGGAGTCCCACAGCTGCCCCCAGCAGGTGCCCCTGCCCCCAGGACAGGAAGCCCAGCGGATTGTATGTGGCATCGACTCGTCCATGCTCCTCACTGTGCCTGGCCAAGCTCTGGCCTGTGGGAGCAACAGGTGAGCAGGTGCACCGGGCTGATTCCCCAGCCTCTGCCGCCCACCGAGGACCACGCTGAGAGGGGCTGAGGATGCTGCTTGGCCCAGTGCAGGTGCAGCAGCCCCTGCCCAGAGAGCTGGGGGCGGGCAGTCTGGATCTGCCTTCTGGCTCTGCCTTCAGGTTCAATAAGCTGGGCCTGGACCACATCTCCCTGGGGGAGGATCCCGTTCCCCACCAGCAAGTGGAGGAGGCCCTGAGCTTCACCCCTCTAGGCTCTGCACCCCTGGACCGGGAGCCCCTGCTGAGTGTGGACCTGGGCACTGCGCACTCAGCTGCTGTGACTGGTGAGGACGCGTGCATGGGAGGCCGGTGGGGGGCGCCCTGGCTTCCAGAGGGCCTCTGTTGAGGCGCCTTCCCTTGCTCTCCTGCCCCCTCCCTCCACAGCCGCGGGGCACTGCTACACATTCGGCAGCAATCAGCACGGGCAGCTGGGCAGCAGCACTGGCCGGGGCGGCCGGGCACCCTGTCAGGTCCAAGGCCTCGAGGGCATCAGGATGGCGATGGTGGCCTGTGGCGATGCCTTCACTGTAGCCATTGGGGCAGGTGAGGGGTGGGCACAGCGGGCAGACTGGCACGGAGAGCCTGGCAGGCAGTGTAGGACATCACGCTCAGGGCCGCTGGACTCAGCCAGCTCCCCCCGGGGCCAGTCTGGTAGGCTGGGCTCAGAGCTGCTTGCTTGGGCCGTGTGCCCCTTCCCACGTTCTCCCTCGGGCTTTTCTCTGGCAGAGGGTGAGGTGTACTCCTGGGGCAAGGGAGCCCGAGGCCGGCTGGGAAGGAGGGACGAGGATGCCGGCCTCCCTCGGCCGGTGCAGCTGGACGAGACACACCCTTACACCGTGACTTCCGTGTCCTGCTGCCACGGAAACACACTCTTGGCTGTGCGGCGTGAGTGTTGACTCCCCCCCACCCAGGCCAGGCTAACCCAGGGGGGCCCTGCCCACACTCCCATTCCTGGCAGGCAGTCACAGCCCAAACTACCAAACACACCACACACCGTCGACTCCCAGAAGCTGTGGGGCAAGACCAAGCTTCCTGCCAGAAGTGGGTGCTGGTGGGCGCTACCCAGGGCTTTTGTGTGCTCTACCCAGGGCTTTTGTGTGCTCCTTCTCCTCCTACCCCGCGGGTCCAAGAGGCTCTGAACCTCCAGCTCTGGCCTGGCAGGGCCCTGCGGGGCGGGGGTTGTGGTGGGAATGCTTTCTGGAGGCACCGCCTTCCGGGAGGCTGCAGGGGGTTCTGTCTGGTACCCTCCAGCTGTCACGGATGAGCCCGTGCCCCCCTGAGGTGCTGGATGCACCTCTGGACCACCCTGATCTGGCTTCTCCACCAAGAGTCATGAAGAGTGCAGGCGCCTGCGGCATGATTGTCCCCACCAGACCCCTGGGCTGTCATCAGAGGGGCGGAAGGGCCAGCGAAGTCCTGCTTTGCTTCGGAACCCCAACCGGAGCAGGCAAAGCCATGTGAGCAGCATTTCCAGCCCCGGCTGCTCCACTTCCGATCCAGCTCCCTGCTCATGCGCCTGGGAGGCCAGCAGAAGTGGTGCTTGGGCTCCTCCCTCCCACGTGGGGGACCCGGATGCAGTTCCAGGCTCCTGGCTCCCACCTTGTCCAGGCCCAGCTGGTGCTGCCTTTTGGGGAGTGAGCCAGCAGATGGAAGACCTCTCTCTCTCTGTAACTCTGCCTTTCAAATAAATAAATCTTTCAATAAACCCGAACCTCAGCCACCCCCACCCCTTTTCTCAGTCTACCCCTGGGGTCAGACCCTGGGGAGCTGGGTGGTCTCCTGGGCCTTGGCAGGCGGAGGCTGGTGGGGCTGCAGTCAGGCCTTTCCCCTCTTCCAGCCAGGAGAGCCCCTGCTGCCCAGTGGGACATGGTCTCCAAGCTTGGGAGCAGGGCAAGCCCGGACTGGCCCTTAGGCTGGCCTGGGGCTGGGAGCTCGGAGGGAGCTGCTGCCCGCCCCCACTCCTTATCCCGCAGCAGGGATTTGCACAACCTGCGAGGCCTCCCTAGCCCTGCGGGAGTGCGGGAGCCGCCCAGTGTTGCAGAGGTCACCTCCTCACCCCATGCCTTTCCCCAGACCCACGTGGAGGGGGGAAGGGGAGCTGGCTGGACCAGACCAGTTTCCCGGTAGACTGGAAGTCGCCTGAATAAAAGTATCCGCTGCCTGCCTGCAGCGTGCTCTCTTCAGAGGTGGGGTGGGTGGCAGCCACACACCACAAGACGTGGGCTGGGCCCGGCCGCGGTTGCAGGGCCGCGGCCGGGGAAGGAATGTGGGCGCAGCCGGGGGCTGGGACAGAGGCTCCTTTGGCCCAGCGCCCAGTCCAGCCTCCTCGCCCCGGACGGGCTCCTCGGATCTGGTTGCCAGGCTTAGCTGCTTAGCACCTGGAAGCTGGGGGCCCGGGTCCCTGGGGGGCGCACGGCCCCTGAGGCCGGGCTGCTGACTGCGGAGAAGCAAACCTTTGTGGAGCGGCCCGTCGTCTCTGGCTACGCCGCGCACTCCCCTGGGGCCCTCCGCCCCAGCCTAGCGCGGGGCACGCCCCTTTCCCCAGCTCCGGGGAGAAGCGGAGCCACGATCCTTCATTCCAGCCCTCGCTTCCGGGAGTGGACGAGTCTGGCCGCGGCCGGACCCCGAAGACGGGAGCCCGCGCGGTGGGCGCTAGGACCGCGCGGCCTCGGCTCCGCCCCTTCTTCCGGCGGGCGGGCTCGCGGGCCGGGCCCGGAGCGCGGCCGCCAGTCGGCGCCGCCCGGAGCCGGGAGCGCGGCCGGAGCGAGGCGCGGGCTGTGGGGCCGCCGCGTGCCCGGCCCCGCTCGCCCGTGCCCGCCGCAGGCCTGCCCGCCCGCCATGCCCGGCTTCGACTACAAGTTCCTGGAGAAGCCCAAGCGGCGGCTGCTGTGCCCATTGTGCGGGAAGCCCATGCGTGAGCCCGTGCAGGTTTCTACCTGCGGCCACCGCTTCTGCGACACCTGCCTACAGGAGTTCCTCAGGTGCGGGCCGGGGGGAGGCGGGAGGCGGACGGTGGCGGCGTGGACACGGCGTGGGCAGGGATCCAGGCCGGAGACCCTCCGGGCCTTTGTCTGAGACACGGTTCCCGTGACCTCAGGGGAGCCCGCCATGACGTCACGGGCCGGCGGTGACGTCAGGCCCAGAGGGAGGACCCCAGTCCCCGGTCCGCGGCGTGCCGGGTCCCACCGGCCCCGCGCCAGGTGGGGCGGCAAACATTCCTCTCCTGACTGCTGGCCGGCCCTTCCCCCCCTCACCTGAGAGCCGGACCGGCCTCATCCTTGAACTTTGAATCCTGCTGCGGGGACGGGAGGCACGAAACCCCGTCGTGCGCGCCGCACTTCACGCTGCCGGAGTTTGCGCTTCTCTAATCGGAGAACGCCCGCTATAGTTCTCCCATTTCACAGATGATGAGAAATTCCCGGGATGGCTGCGGCTTGCCCGGGGTCGCACAGGCTGAGCTGGGATTTCGGCCCAGGCTTCTGGTGGCCACACAATGGAGGGAGGCCTGGACCTGCCGTCCTGCCTCGGAGCAGGCACGCTGCCCCGGGGGTGGTGGTGCAGTGGGTGGTGGTCGCTCTGTCCCTAGGCAGGGCTCGAACGCTGCTTGCTCCCGCACGCCCCCTGCCCTCTCAGCCCTCGCCTCTTGGGTATGCATCAGACTGCCGGGCTCCCTGTGCAGCCTTGAGCCCTCCTGGCCTCTCTGGGAGCGGCTTCCCCGGATGGCGATCGGCAGTTGAAGGAGCCCCCCACGCCCACGGTCGGGGAGGTCGTGGCCCGGAGGCGGGGGGCCGGGCCGGCCGCTGTCTGGAGGCTGCACCCTGCTCCTCGGGCTGGCGGAAACCTCAGCAGGCCCTTTGTTTTCCGTGCCGAAGCCTGGGCTCCTGCCCTCACAGATGCTCCCGCACGGGCTGCTGCTGTGCGGCCCCTCCTCCCTGCACTGTACACACTTCACTCCGCTACAGACACACGGCCCATTGTCTCCGCCACTGCCCTTCCCTGGCCCTCTGGTTTCCAGATGAGACCAGCTGAGCCCCCCCCCCCCCCAGCTGACCCACCCTGACAGCCTCGGGAAAGAGCGAGGGAGGGGCTGTCAGGCCCCTTTCCCTCCTCAGCGCCTCACCGCTGCTTCTGCCCCTCCCCCTCCCGGAAATCCCCTCTTCCTCTCCCGCAGCCCCCTCCCCCCATCCTGTCTTCCCCCCTGGGCCTGGGCCTCCGGCACTGACTGGAGCAGCCTCTGCGGCTGCCTCCACCGCCCGCAGCACCCGAGCTCTGCTGCGGCGGCCTCTGGAGCGACGAGGTGGTTGGGCCGGCTGGGTCCGGCTTGGTCACCCCCACCCGGCAGGCTCGGGTCCATTTCCCTCAGTGAGTCTTTATCCTGGCTGGGCCCGAGCTGTACGGGAAGCTGCTGTTTTGAAGCCCAGGGGCTTGCCTCAGTCTCCTCCCTGTCTCCAAAACAGCTAAGTCAGCACATTCCTGAAGCAGCCAAGTGGACCACCCTCCCCTCCCACCCCTCTTCCCCACTTCTGCCAGGGCTGTTACTCAGGTTGATCCCAGAAGGCTGCTTTGCCCCCTGGGCATGGCACACCCCTTCAGTGCCTAGGCATGCATTGTTCTTGGCACTGGTGGGGTCATGGAGGAGGTGGGTGCATGCACCCGTTGGATACCTGCGGCATGGGCTGTCCAAGGCCCTGAGAAATGCCAACCAAGCCACGTGGCCCCTGCTTGCCTCCGACCTACCTGCCTCAGACCCGGCAGGAATCCCATGCCCAAGGGCCTGCAGTCCTGCCAGGTCAGCCCTCGCCCTGCCTGGGCCGTATCAGGCACGTGGGACTGGTCCTGGCTGGGGTCACCAAGGGCATGCTGGCAGGAGGCAGCATGCACCAGGCTCCTTGGTGCTGTCAGCCAGTCAGGGATTGGCAGAGAAGGAGGGCCACCGGCCGGCGGGCAGGGTCAACAAGCTTTAGAAGCCTGTCCTGCAGTGAGCACACTGGCTGTGCCTGCCCAGACATCTCCTGCCCCTGGGTCTCTTCTGGGTGCTGTATGGTCGGCTGTGCAGTGAGACATATCCAGGTGCTGCGTGCCCTGTGAGCCTCTTTGGGTACACCTTTAAAATGGGGACGTTTCAGCCCTGCTCACCTCTCAGGCAGGCGCTGAGGACTGGGTGGGAATGTAAACAGTGCCAGGCAGCATGCCTTTTCTCTCCTTTAAGTAACACCCTAAGAAGGTAGGGGAGAGGTGGTAAGGTGGCCCCAAGTTGACCTTTGCCCTGGTTCTTAGCCCAGGAGCTTCATGGGTGCTGGGCGGTCCTGGCACTTAGTCTCAGCCTATCCTGTTCACCCTCCCATCAGCTTGCAGCACAAGCCAATGGGAACACCCCTAGGAGGAGGGGTAGCTGGGCAGCCCGTGCCTTTTCCAGTCCAGCTGCCATCCTGGGGGAGGGGGTGCCAGCTGCCACCTGTTGAGCAAATGCTGTCTGAGGCAGCTGTCTCTGCCTCCACTGGCCCCAGAATCCCCCCTTCCCAGGACAGGGGCTGGGGTCCTGGGGTCTCTCCTTGCCTTTTTGTCTAAGCTGGGGCTAGCTGGGAAGCAGTCTGGCGAGGGAGGGAGGCTGCCTTGGTCTCCGGCGTGGGGCCCAGGGCTCTCCCTTCTTAAGACCAAGAGCCTTGACCTTGCACTCTCCCCCTTCCAGTGAAGGAGTCTTCAAATGCCCTGAGGACCAACTTCCTCTAGACTATGCCAAGGTGAGTCCACACTGCTAGGCAGATGCCAGGTACAGGCTGTTGCCCTTGGTGGAGGCTGGAGGCTGGCAGCCAGCAGGCTCTGGGCCAATGTCAACCCAGAGCCTGGGGATCGGGAGCCCCCACAAAGGTAGCCTGTTCCCTCCTACCAGGCCAGTTTGCAGACGAAGGCCCATGTTGGCCCTGGAGGGCAGGCATGGTGCCCAGCCTGTGGGGGTGCATAGAGCTGTTCTGTGCCCACAAGAAGTGCCCCCTCCCCTTCCTGTGGCAAGCCAGACCTGTGGCTGAGGGCCAGGATCTCTCTACCAAGAGGAAGCAAATAGAGGATTGTGAGAGACGTGGGGGTGGGGGGGCCGCCTCTCCAGGGTCACACTGGTGATGCGGGGATCCAGCACCACTGCACGTACCACCTGCTGTGTGCTTCATCCCTGCGTTCCGAGTGGCAAATAGACTCGAGACAGCCAAACGGGGGCTGTGGAGGGAGTTGTGGACAGCAGCGGACTCTGATGCTGGCCAGTTCCCCCAGATCTACCCAGACCCAGAGCTGGAAGTCCAGGTGTTGGGCCTGCCGATCCGCTGCATCCACAGTGAGGAGGGCTGCCGCTGGAGTGGGCCACTGCGCCACCTACAGGTGAGGCTCTGGTGAAGGGGCTAGGACCACCCCTCCCCTGAGCAGGCACTAACTGCAGCCCTTTGCTCAGGGCCACCTGAATACCTGCAGCTTCAATGTAGTTGCCTGCCCCAATCGCTGCCCCGCCAAGCTGAGCCGCCGCGATCTGCCTGCGCACTTGCAGCACGACTGCCCCAAGCGGCGCCTCAAGTGCGAGTTTTGTGGCTGCGACTTCAGTGGAGAGGCCTATGAGGTAGGTGGGGCCTGGGGGAGAGGGGGGATAGGTGGGCCCAGGCAGCCCTGAACTCAGCCCCTCCCTGTGGCATTTCCAGAGCCACGAGGGCATGTGCCCCCAAGAGAGCGTATAC